TTTTGGTTCTAAGAACACTTCGTGGTGTGACTGTAGGAATGCCGGGACGGTCGGCCCCTGCTCAGTTTTGATCCTCCCCTCCCCCTCCTCCTCCTCTTCCTCCTCCTCCTCCTCCTCCTCCGCCTCCTCCTCCTCCTCCCTCCTCCCTCCTCCTCCCTCCCCCTCCTCCTCCACCAGGAGGAGGAGGAGGAGGAGGAGGAGGAGGAGGAGGAGGAGGAGGAGGGCGCATGGCCGGCTTCGCCACCACCTCCGCCGCAGGGACCGCCGCGCAGCCTGCCAGGCCCTGGCCTGGCCGCCCCGAGGACCGCACGCCTGCCGCGGCGCGCCGCGGCCTCGAGGGCCCTTCGCGAGGCGCTCGTGCCCCAGCCACAGCTCGGGGGCGCCGCGGCCCCCGGCGTCAGGGCCCCCATCCTTCTTAGAGACTCCAGATTTCGTAATGAAGGGAGGGGGGGTCTCATTTTGGGGGGGGGTCTCTTCCAGGCTATCTTGGAGGGCCTGGGGGGTCTGGGGACGATGTCTTGGAGGGTTCTCCCACGGGGGAGGTCTGAAATGGCTTGTCTTGGAGGGTCCAGACCCCCTCCCAGATATTACGAAATCTGGAGTACCTTCTCCTGGCGACAACTCAAGCCTGTATTTTCTGCGACTTCGCTGCGGACTGGGACTGCCAGCCCAACTCCAATTCCAGTTGATCTCTTTCAAATGCTATGAGATTTGATTCTGAAATCTTCGGTTGGGTTGGATATGGAGTGGCCTAGGGGCCTGTAAGCGCCCAGCGAAAACACAGAAGCTAAACGGCTGCAGAAACGGTAATGATGGTGAACCCGCCGACCTACCCCGGTCCAGGGCCCGGACGGCACGATCGCTCCACCCCCCCGGCGGCCCCATCTCGTCCCTGTCCTGGCGGCCTATAGTCGGGGATGGACAGACCCCCCTTTAGTACATTGTGGTTCAGTGAAAACGACCTGAGGTCCAAATCTGGCGGGCGCGAGCCTGGAAAATAACGGCCACAGCGGTTTCTCGAGGACCGAAAACGGACAATTCACTAATCGACGTGTCACTGTTGGGGGTTCTGTCCGCCCCCGATATAGGGTACCAGGAACCCAGGGGTCCAGCGCATGGAAAACATCAGGACGGAGGTCTTTCCTCAAGACATAGAGGCCCTCGCCGGGCCCCGGGGGAGCGCCAGTCAGCGGCCCGGGATGAGAAAAACCGGCCCCCCGGGAGAAGGGTCGGGACTGTCCCGGGGCCTCGCATTGAAAAAAACACGACATCGGATCTCTGGAATGATGGGCCTGATTTCCACCACCACCACCATAAGTTGGAGGGGGAGGGAGTCCTCCTCCTCCTCCTCCTCCTTCGCATCCTCCTCCTCCTCCTCCTTCCCCCCCTCCATCTTATGGTGGTGGTGGTGGAAAACAGGCCCATCATGGAAAGGGGGCCCGATTGGTCCTAAAAGAGCTTAGCAACGTTCGAAGGTTGCCCCAGTGGCCAAGAGAGCTCTCACGAGCTCTTTTATGAGGCCGCGGAGCGGCCCCAAGCAATGATCTGTTCGAAATGTCCAGAGAGTGCTTGCACTCGTGTGGTTCTGATTCGCTTGTCTGAGGGAAATCGGCCTGCGGGTCGGTCTGGCGGCTGTGTCGTCGCCGTCGCTGCCTCGTCGCCGCCGCCTCGTCGCCGCCGCCCATCGCCTGGGCCTGCGGGTCGGTCTGGCGGCTATGTTGTCGCCGTCGCTGTGTCGCCGCCTCGTTGCCGCCCGTGTTCTAGGCCTGCGGGTCGGTCTGGCGGCCACGTTGTGGCCGTCGCCGCCCTCGTCGCCGCAGTCAGGACTGCACCACATATATTTCACAACATCAATTGCACGACATTGATTGCACAACGCACATTGCACAACCCTATGGAGTGCCCTCCAAAGATTGCGTGACCTAACATGTTGCTCACCGCATGCTTCGCACAACGTAGAGTGCGCACTGCATACATTCTCCTTTCTAAAAAGGAGATAGGTTCTACCTCCCTCCCCCCCCCGATTTACTCATTCCCTGGGAACCTATGCAACACACTTATGGTTCTGACCCAGCGTCCATCCTACCAGTGAATTCGTACTATCCCAGCCAGGCCGGTATCTGTCCCCTTCGGATCCCTTGCAAAAGTATTATGCGCGCGCACTCGCCTATCAACAAACCATACGCTTTAAATAACCCCTTGCACAAACTATGACGAAGTGCACACACGCGCGTCGTCGCGCGCGCATGCCGGAATCCTTCAAACACCTTCGGTGTCGGAAAGATTTCAGAATCGACTGTCGACACAACATAACAACACAGGGTTTCGCATCACGGATTTTCAGCACAAGTGTGCGCGCGTTCTTGCGAATTCTTTTAAAAAGCCATGCGTCTTCGACATTTCCATAACGTCCTACCAAACGGGCTTTGCGCGCGCATGTCGAAATCGTTCGAACGCCCTTGCGCGCGTGTTGGGGTGGCACCATCAGTGTCAAATAATACCATGCCGCTCTCGCGCGTCTGCCGCGCGCGCATGTCGAAATCCTACCAACACCTTCGTCACCGACGCGAAGACGCCGTCATCGTCGTCGGCGTGATGAGCATAGGCGCCGTCACTGGCTGGCACGCCGTCGTTGTCAGCATCGCCACCAGCATCGCTATCATCATCATCGTGTCTACCGTTGTCGACATTGCCATGATACCGCGCCCGCCCAAGCCGCCGACTCGCACTGAACTGTCCGCGGGGATGTGTCGAGCGTCAGCGCCACCGCGTTCGCGCCAGCCGCGCCAAACTAGCTGGCCGCTGCGCGCGCGAGCATGCGCGGGCTAGCGCGGTCGCAGAGATGCACGATATGCACCAGCCGACGCCCAGCACTCATCGCAATCGCCCCCTCATGGGTTTTACAAACCGAGTTGCGGGTGGGTGGGAGGGATGATTGCGCGAGCAGTGGAGTTGACAACTTCAGGTTCGACAAGTGAATTGCACCACGGCTGTTGTACCACGATTGGTGGCCTCACATAGATTGCGCACACCTTATATTGCACTCCGTTGGCTTTACATCAAACAGTGCACAACATCCCTTGCACCACTTGGATTGCTCCACGCGGATTGTAAAGTACACTATAATTGTATGCATATGTATGTATATGTATGTATGCATGCATAATGCCTATATGATTGCACAACATGTATTGCACCACCTAAGTTGCGCATAATTGTTCGCAAACGCCTACGGCGAGTCACCGCCGCCCCCTGCATTCTAGAATCGCCCATGTGGCCGAGCGTTGTGGCAAGAGCTCCGCCAACGGGTCCATGCCTTCCCCCAACCGTTGTGAACATTCGGGGGTGATGGCGGGGAATATCAGGAGGAGGCGGAGGAGGAGGTGGAGGCGGAGGGGGGGGAGGAGGGGGAGGAGGAGGAGGACGAGGACGAGGACGAGGACGAGGACGAGGACGAGGACGAGGACGAGGACGAGGACGAGGAGGAGGGATGAGGACGAGAAGGAGGGGGCACCTTGGGAGCCTCTGGGGGCACTCTTGGGGCCTCCTGGGGGCTTCCTGTGGGCCTCTTGGAGGCATCTTGGAGGCCCTCTTGGAAGCCCTCTTGGAGGCCTCTTGGGGGCCTTTGGGGGCTTCTCGGGATCCTCCTTGGCCGTCTTGGTGGGTTCCTGGTCCGCCTGTGAAATGTTCCTTTTTTCAACCTAACTAGTACGTAGATGATCAAATTAACTTGGGGATGGCTTAGGGAACTTGTATGTCCATCCGTATCAGTAATTTCGCATTTAATTGAGCTAAATGCATGTTTTCCATAGGTTTCATGAATTCCGCCGCCCCCTTTCCATGACATGTGAAAAATATGTAAAACCATGTAGCAACATGTTAACCATTGCACGTGCATACGGTATTCGGTATTTGAGGTGCGACCCACTTGCCTCACTTGCCCCAGTTGCCCTATTTGCCCCGCTTGCCCCACTTGCCCCACTTGGTGGAGGAGGAGAAGGAGGAGGCGGAGGAGGAGGAGGAAGAGAAGGGTGAGGAGGTGGAGGATATCGGCCCACTTTTGCGATTGCGCGGCATGGCTGGCGGCTCTAAACAATGACGGACGAAATTGGCGACTGCAGACATCCAGCCACACTGGGTAACTGCAGGGGCGGCCCGCCCCCCGCGCATTACAGTTCCCACGCGGTCGGCCAATTAGGCGTTTGAGAACCGCCATGGTGCAAGCAGCCAGCCAGATCGTTCAATCGTTCCCCCTCTTCTTCCTCACCCCTCCTCGTCCTCTTTTCCGTTTCCTCCCTACCCCCCCTGGCATGTTGATCTTTCTCATCGGTGTGTATACGCGAGCGCGTGGTGTCCTGTTGAGTGAGATCGATACTGAGATCGATAGTTAGATCGAGACTGTGCCCCGATGTGTCCCGTGGTGTCCCGTGGTGCCCCAAAATGTGCGATCGATCGTGAGATCGACAGATGTCCCACGGTGTTCCGCGGTGTCCCGTGGCGCCCCGTGGATCGAGATCGATCGTGAAATCGATCGTGAGATCGATGTGGTGTCCCCGATCGCCCCGCCGCCGTTTAGGCTCAATCGAATATTCAGTCAGGACCGGCGTCCCAGACTTTTATTTCGCTCAGCGGCGTTTTTGCTCCCATGGTTTCAAACGACGATGACTATGTTGCCGAATCTAGACATCATTTGCTTCTCTCGAATTGGGTTGTATCACATCTCTCACTCGATGTGATGAAGACACAGTGCTGCCCGATGTAAGGATTTGCGCAGTTGGGGAGTCGAGCTCGCTGCGGCAGATATCCTGCGGCTCAGAGTCGTGGAGGGCCCATTGCAATTGGAGGGCCCATTGCTCGTTGCGATGGCGAACTTGTGGGCGCCCTCAAATTGCAGAGAGTACTTGCGGCGCTTGATCAGAGACTATGCTGGGAGATGGGCGGACAATTCGGATGGGCACTACTTCCAGTAGGTATGCTTCGAGTCGGCATTGGGCCACTTGTCGAGGGGCAGGTCGACAGTGGTTTCAGTCACCCGCCGATCGGACGCTCTCGTTGCAGGGAGGACTCCAGCTCTGATTGCGCCAATGCTCAACGTTCCAGGGTACGAGCCGAAGGCCTGCA